TCAGCTCAGCAGCACCTCTTGTTGTTGAGTCTTCACCTCAGAATCCTCACCCAGCTGCCCCAAACCTCCCACCCTGGCTGAGGGGTTAGAAAGCAAGGGGGTTTGGAAGCTCTGGAGCTGTTTCAGGTCCCTGATCCTGTCCCCACACGCCGTTGGAACCAGTCCTGCCCCAGCTTTCCTGCAGGTCCCCTTCAGACACTTGAAGGCCACCATAAAGTCTCCCCAGAGCCTTCTCTTCTCCAGGCTGAACAACCCCAACTCTCTCAGCCTGGCCTTGTAGGAGAGATGTTCCAGCCCTCAGATCATCTTCCTGGTCCTCCTCTGGACCTGCTCCCTGGTCCCTGTCCCCCCCTGTGCTGAGGGCTCCAGAGCTGGACACAGACTCCAGGTGAGGTCTCAGAGCAGAGCAGAATCACCTCTCTCCATCTGGCCATGCTTCTTTTGATGCAGCCCAGTACACAATTGACCTTCTGGGTCATTGTTGACTCATGCCCAGCTTCTGATCCACCAGCACCCCCAAGTCCTCCTCCAGGGCTGCTCTGTATCACCATCCCCCAGCCTGTACCAGTAACCAGGATCTCACAGCTGAGTTTTCTGGTTTCTCCTTGTTGTGTTGGAAGGACTCAACTCCTCTCAACTGGACTCTTCAGGCCTCCTGAGGCCTTTCAGGAGAAACCAGGGCAGAGCATGACGTTCAACCAGGACTCTGCCAACCGTGGGCTTTCATGCCAGATCCTTTTCCAACACAGCTCCTGTTCCATGCAGCTGTTTCTGCTCCTTCCATATTGACACAGTTGCTTTCCAAGAGAAGGTATGGGGGAAAAAAAAAAAGCCAAACACAACTTTCTTTAAAGCTGGTGATGTGAGGACAGCTCTTTTTAACTTCTTTCAGGATGATTTAGGCTGAGAAAAGCCAGTGAGATACATCTTGGCTTCGTTCTACCCCCAGGGAGATGGACTGCAGCCCAGCAAGACTTTTATTCCTCCCCAAGTGCTGCCAAGAGGATGGAGCACCAGGGGGAAAATAGATTCCCAGAGTGATTTTGTGGCTTTTGTGGGTGTTTGCTGCCTCCTTGTGACAGTCCAAAGATTCCTGGTGCTGGTCTCTGAAATGCAGGGCATGGCAGTGTGCATTTGGG